TTTTAATATTGTACTAATATTCTAAATCTATCAGTTATTCTGGGTGCGTGCAGTTTTCACATAAAAAAACAACAGTTAAGTTGATTTCATTCTAGCTGCCTTTGTGATTTTCTTGAGATAACACCAGTTCTGTCTATGGATAAATTGGTCGTAATGTTGCACATTGTGCAAGGATGTTGGCAGCAGTGTCATTCCCGTTACATAGTGGACCTACCAAATTCGCTCTTTGTGGAAATCAGTTTTTACCTGTAAATGTTAGGTGTATTCTTGAATTTTGACATTCTAAGTGCTTAGAGCTTTGATAAATAAATAAATATATACATATGTATAGAAAAAATGATAATAAAAAATGCTCGTTAATAACACAGACCTGTGAATTTAAACTTCATAAAAGTTGTTTTGGTTTTAATAACGGATATTCCATAATTCAGCTACGCAGATTTCGAAAATAATATTATTATTATTTTTTTCTATCGTGTAAGGATTTCTTGACAAATCGGGAAAAAACTCTTACTTAGATCAAATTTACCACAAATATAACATAATGTGTTTGGGTCATTTACACAACCTCTTGTTGCCATAACGACGAATATATATTTTTGAAAAGATTGTTTTTTTAGTTTCGCGCAAAGCTACACGAGGCCTATCTGCGCTAGCCGTCCCTAATTTAGCAGTGTAAGACAAGAGGGAAGGCAGCTAGTCATCACCACCCACCGCCAGCTCTTGGGCTACTCTTTTACCAACGAATAGTGGGATTGACCATCCCATTATAACGCCCCCACGGCTGAAAGGGCGAGCATGTTTGGTGGGACGGGGATTCGAACCCGCAGATTGCGAGTCGAGCGCCCTAACCACCTGGCCATGCCGGCCTTTTGAAAAAATAAAAATAATGTCAAAGTGCACGCACAATCAAATACAATCCAAAATGACACGTCACGCGGCCTGTTAACCGTTTATATACTAGCGGCGTGTCTCTCGTCGATTCTAGAACGATCGATAAGACTCTCACGTTGCGATTGGTCTAGAAAAATCTATAGCCAGTGGCTGTCAACATTTTAAACACAACAAAATGTGACCCGATTTCAATGAAAATGATCCATTTATGTGAAAGTAGATATGACGTTTTATGAAAAATCTGTAAGTGATGGAGAAAAATGGATATCATCTTCGGGTTCAGCGTAGGGGATTACTGTAGAACATGTAAACATTTCAAGACAATAAAACCATCGCAGACATATATATATAATCAGTCCATTCCGTTTTTATTTCACAAATCATGTTAGTTGATAATACAAATGTTGAATGAACAACAGAATATACATAAAATGTAAACATTATATACTAACACTATACAATCCCTATGGTAATTAAAGAGAAAGCCTACAAACTACAAATTCTGTAGGGTTGGACGAAAGAGAATCAGATACTTAAAGTAATATCAGTTTTAATGAGCACAGTACGACAAAGCATGAAATTATTATTCAGGTGTACTAATGGTTGAATTAAGACTAAAACTAGTGCTCGTAGAAACGAAATAGGTCTCATCGTAAAGTTTCTTCACGTCTTACCGGTAATTCAGTCCCGTAAAACTACCTGGGTACAAAGAGTTCAATTATTGATCTTCATTCAGAAGTAAATACAATTTCATTTTAAACCTGATCTTCTGTTCCAAGGATTGTTATCACTGAAAATATATTGTACCAGCTGTTTCAAGGTAGTGATTAGTTCACTGAATAGTACTAACTGGTAGAAATCTAAACATCTAACGCGCCACCTATAAGTGATTCGATTCAATTCGAAAATCACATATTTCACTCAAAACGCTTAATTAGGGTTTTAATTCACTTAATGTATTATACATTTTCACGTTTATCGTTGTTGAATATGTTAAATATTGACAAATAAAATGTGTTCGAATTCAAATATATATTGTTAGCACGCATTGATTAATAAAATACAAAAAAAATATATGTTAAGCCTAATCTAGCTTCGATTTATCACTTGTCACCGAGTTATACTGTTTCGGGAATTCCACCCGTCATCCGTAACCCTGGACAAGAGCAAATATTTTATATTTCAAAAAGAACAACAGAAAATCTGGATGGAATATTATGAACTCTTTGAAAGGAGTATAAAACCACGTGTTAGAAATACGAACATCGACGTATTTATCGCTTTAACAAATCAGACTTATTCACTAAAGATGAAATTGCACTACCAGTCAAGAAGGCAGAGTCACAAAACATAGAAGACTCGAAGTGGGAGTAACAGGGACGGGAAACACACATCGTTTAAAAGAAATTCAGCTAAACCTGCTGATCTGTACGATATTTGAGCAGAGTGCTTTACAATTACGTGAACTTCAGCCGATGCTTGAAATTCCCACACTTAAAAGAAAAAACTGCATGTATTACAAATATATTTGTTTTAGCGCAAAGCAACGTGATAGATTATTTTCGCGCTGTTCGCCACGATGAATCGAACCCCGGGTTTTAGCATTGCAAGTCTCTAAACTTATTACTGACCGGATGTAATACATATTAAAATCCTAATATAATTTCAAGCAGTACAACTCTGTACAGTCTACACGTTTACCTAAGTTTTCAAATTACAAAACTTCACACAATAAGCCCCCCCCCCCCCAGTGGCCCAACGGTACGTCTCTAAGTTTATAATGCTAAAAATCGGGTTTCGATACCCATGGTGGGCACAGCACAGATATCCCATTGTGTATCTTAGAACTTAACAACAAAAACTCACACAGTAACTCCAAATAATTCATTTTTGTAAATTTTAAAGTCACTGTTGTATCTAAACAGCCTAGCTCTTCAAATTCCTTTGGTGTTCGAGTTAAAAGATAAGTTATTCAGAAACAGTTGTCAATAATTACGTATTTTAAAAGCAGAGAAATAATAAATCCACTTATTCAACTGAAATGAAGTGTTTGTGGATGTTCTCTCGTCCAACATGTGGAACTCTAATGACCTGTTGTTAAGTGTATTGAAGTTTGATCATTATTTACTTCTGTTACAATATTTTTATTAATTATTATTGTTCATTCAACAATTCCACGAAATATCTTGGAAAAAATAGAAATTTACAGCATGGTGTTGATACAAGTTTCCAAAAATGAACGATATGCAACTACAAATAAGATACTCGAAATTAACTCCATCAAAATAAGTTCATTAGTACACAATTTTTTCTTGTTATTTCAGGAACAAACTACTGAAGCATCCCGAGTAGAGAGTTATAGGTAGCTTTTCATTCTTCAAAAAAAAAGAAATTAAAAACTTGAACCATTTTTAGGCACTCAAAGGTCAAAGAAGGACTGAATACCAGGAAGGAAAATTAAAAATGAGATTGACAGAACACCAGTATGACATAAAATATAGTATATAATGTCTTCACCTCTAGCTGAACGCAAGTATTTGAATAATTAAAATCACATCCGTGTGTGTAAATAGACAACGGCCCCATCAATGTGTAAAATTTACCTCCCCATGTTATTTAAAAATGGACTTCCCCATTAACGGTTAGTTTAACACAGGTTAAGCTGACATTGGCTTTCCCATTAACGGTTAGTTTAACACGGGTTAAGCTGACACTGGCTTGGTGGTTATGGTGCTTGACGAATAATCTGAGGGTCATAGGTTCTAATCCCCGTCCCACCCAACATGCTCGCCCCCTTTCAGTCATGTGGGCATTATAATGTGATGGTCAATCCCACTATTTGTTGGTACAAGAGTAACAGAGGGTGTTGTCAAATATCTTTCATTTCATTTTAGTCTTTCACTGTTAAATCAGTAATGGCTACCTGGAGAGGAGATGGGCGCTGAGGTAGCTAATAAAAACAACAGTTTTGTTTTACCCTTTTCTGGTAAGTCGATTTCATTCAGTGAAATGTTTCCCCTACTATGTGTGTATGAATTAGAGCAGGTGAAAAGAAACAAGTAAGTAGTGTAAGAGGACATGAAGAGGCCTAA